TTACTATAAATGTTTTTTTGTATTATATCTTAAGTTTCAGAACCCACGTATTTTTTTTTTGATTTCTCTTGTTTACATGAACTCTGTGATTTGGTTTTCAGATCCATCACAGATAGACAGCTCTCTGAAATATATATGAAGTGGCGGAAACACTCCCAGCTTCTCAAGGACAGTGATTTTAGTTTTCAGGAGCCTATCATGGCTCTACGCACAGTCATTTTGGAGCTCCTGATTGCAAAGGAAATGGAGGACTCCCAAAAAGAATGTTTTAAGGACATTCTCACCAAGCACCTTGTAGAATTATCTATACTGGCCCGAACTTTCAAGAACACTCAGGTAAAAATGATTTAAAACTATGCATCTCACCTCTTGACCGTTCCTTTTATTTTTCAGAAAACAGAAAGCATGAGTGAAAAATGTCACTGAGAAATAGAGATTGCTGTTATTAATAATATGTTGTAAGAATAATTGTTTAAGATTTCTCATTTTGGAATTAGACCTGAGTTTAAGCCTTGGGCAAGGTACTTTATTTTTTTCAACCTCAATTTCCTGGTTATAAAATGAGAAGATACCAAACTTACTATATTGATAACAGTTAAATGATTATATACACTGTCTACATATACACAGACTTACCACATGTGTACATATATATATATGTATGTGGAGAGAGAGAGAGAGAGAGAGAGAGAGAGAGAGAGAAGGAGAGACGGAGAGACACAATAGATGTGAGGTGATGGGATGGAAGATGGGCAGAAAGGCACTTAAGACAGTCCCTGACAAATAGTTAAATCTTCAATGAATGGTAGTTGCTGCTTTCATCATTATTATTATTAATGGTAGTAGTAGTAATAATAAAAGTATTTATTCCCATATGTCATTATCATTTCAGCTCCCTGAAAGGGCAATATTTCAAATTAAACAGTATAATTCAGCTAGTCATGGAGTCTCTGAGTGGCAACTGGAGGAAGCGCAAGTATTCTGGGCAAAAGAGGAGCAGAGTCTTGCCCTGAGTATTCTCAAGCAAATGATCAAGAAGTTGGATGTCAGCTATACAGAGGTTTATTTTTCTTAACTGGCTGAAACAGTGTTTTACTGTCATTAAAAAAAACATAACTATGTTTTAAAATATTTTTAATAATTATTTTAAAGCCTTGAAATTACTAATCCATGAGCAAGATGTTGTAAAAAGAAGTCTTTTAAAATTAATTTGTAAAAGAAGTTTTGAAACTATCTGTTTTTCCTGTTTGTAACAATTCAATCAGTCCATCTTGTAGTAGATTCATTTGATATATCCCAACGTTAAGCCTTTTAACTTTCTATAGAATTCAAGAAAGATAAATGGGAAATAAACATGAAATAGCCACTATAAATTTGAAATGGCAAGTGAAAAAATGGAAGAGGAAATGAATGACAGAACAAAAGTAGAAAAAAAAGCAAGTTGGGACAATTAGCTTGTCAATCCAAATGCTTTGAAAATATCACATCTAATATTCTATCTTATATTACCTATTAGGTATTGCAAATTTGTGTTGCTACTTCAGTTGTATCCCCAGTAGACAATGGATAGAGTAGAGGCATTTGTAAGAAACACGAGTGTTCAAAGGTTTGTCTGCTACGGTGTCCGTCAAACACCTACCCGCTTAGTGAATATCAACTTACTGTACTTTTGGATCTTGTATGCTTGTATGGCATCCTCCATTATTAGAGAAATCATCATTATACCAAAGCAGTTGTTGCCAGTATAATATGTTTAAATATTGCTTAACAGTATGAGTCCTGTCCTTTACTCACCCTCTTTGTACCTCAGTTTTCTAATCTTCAGATTGTGGGTAATATTAGTACTCATTTCATAGGATTCTTGTGGCTAGTAAATGAGTTAATAAACATAAAGCCATTAGAAAGTGCCTGGCATATATAAGTACTCAGTAAATGTGAGTTGCTCCAATAATGGTGGTAATAGAAAATGAGCATTTCATAGACTTACATACTTGGAATTATTAAAATAGTTGTATGGTGAAAGGAGATGAGGAAAAATATTTTTGACCACTTTTTTCTCTTACATGGAGGACAGTTTTGTATAGTCATAATAATGAATTACATTTTAAGATTTTGCTTTTCTTGTCCAGGATGATCCCACCCTAAAACTTATATACACAGAATGTCTGAGAATCTGTGGCAACTGGTTAGCAGAAACTTGCTTAGAAAATCCTACAGTCATTATGCAGACCTATCTAGAAAAGGTAAGATTTAGGAGCAACCCTTAAGATAGTTGTTTAACATGAATACACTTGATCTTTTAATTGAGACCAGATGTATTTCAAAAGCAAATAAAAGTATGGTATTATTTTCCATATATTATCACTGTTGTA